TTAGATGACTAGATTATCATACAGTATACTTGCTAAGCTCTTCATGTTATAAAAATGAAATTTCAATTCCCAAATGTCGCTTGATGAGTGAAAATGCACGATGAATGACATAAAGTGAATTCCATTTTTTGAAATCGTTAGTAATTAATAAAATTCCAATTCCCAAAATCGAAGCATTTTAATATTTTTGAGAGTTTTTAACCAAACCACAGCTCTAACTAAAAATAAAACCCTTATACAATTGTTTCATACTTGTCAAGATAAAATATAGTCTATCGCAGTTAAACGTGGAAGTCATCAAGGGCTGACATAGGTGGAATGCTTTAAAGAAAAACCTTTTCTTATTTACCTTAAAGTAAAGTACACAAAAATATCCCTCCATTAGGAACACCCATCTCAATAACCGAAACTCAAATAAAATCCATATGATATTTCAGCTTTATTCATTCGATCACTGCTAGTCTAACACTTCAAATGCACACATATGTATTTTGCCATTGCTGGTTTTCTACATCACCGGCAGAATGTCTCTCAACTACTAGGATAATTATATTTCGTTACAATGCTTTAAAATTTAACTTCTTAAAGCACTGAATGTGCATTTTCATATTTTGCACTATATTTTACAATTCATTACATTATATTTATTCATATTCTTGAGAGAGTCGACTAATAAATATCCATATTTCTTTGCTCCTAATCTTTTAAGCATCCTTTCTCTTTCACTGAAGAAATTTCTTCTAAGAGGCGACACAACACAAAAGTGTTTTCTATTGCATTTCTGTTCTTTGGAAATCCTTTACATTTGCCAATTCAGTTAACAAAAACAATCAACTGCTGCAATTTTTATTTCCAAATTTTCTTAGAAAACATTATATTTTTTTCATAGTCATACATGTTAGAGAAGATTCGAGATATGCAGCTTGTCATGGATACAGTTTTGACAAATATCGCTTACATCCTTTGATTTCAAGTGAAACCGGCGTCCTGTAGAATATATACTTAATGCATATTGAGCAAATTTGTAAACTGCTTTTTTCCTTCATTAGGAGCTTCCCGTTTAACAGGAAACAGCTTTGGCTTGTTATTCCTCAGGTGTGTAAACTGTTGCTTGGTGTATTAAATTCCTACTTTCTTATTCTTCAGCAATTAATTGAAGTTTCGTTAATGTGAATGTTTACGTTAATAGCGGTGACATCTTTAGGATATCTTTTGTTGCTTAAGCTTTATATTTTTAAAATAAAGAGATAATAGAGTAGTCAAACATGTGTACAAAGTAATATGTTGACTTCCCCTGATTTTATTATATTTCCTAAGAACTCATTTCCTAATTTCTTAAATATTCACATCTAACAGCCATTAAATATGAAACCTTAATGAAGAACTAACTCCAACAATAACGGAGAAATGTTTCAACTTGAAAGCCATTTTTAGTTTTCATCAGTAGATAAAAAACCACAGTGTATTCTCTCAAGACCAGGAAATTTAGCATTTCTCTTTCAGCAAAATAAACGAGATTGCCGCTCCAGGTGGTAGTTAAATTACTGAAGAGATAATTAAGTATTATACTTCTTTTAAAATATAATCACCGAAAGCTCCCTGCGTTTCATGTTTCGGCAGCACTGCACGAAATTTATAACGAAGAAGTGTTATGAGCTTCGCTTACCTTCTTTGAACACTAAAGTTCATCAAAAGGCTGTTCCTCCGCTCATTTTATCAGCTTTGAACATAATAATTTCTCCTTTAATTTAAAGTAAATTTCAAAGTAACAGCGTACCGTATATTCATTCATGACTAGTGCTGATGCAAAATATTTAATAATAATTACTCAATAACCTGTTATCCGGATGATAACAGGTGAATGAAGTACGTCCTCTCGATTAACCCTATTCTCGATTTTCAGATACATATGTGTAGTAAGTGGATTAGGGAAGATTGGAAAAAGTTTCATAAGACTATATTCTATTACTTTGTTTAGTTTATTTTATTTTGTAATCTTTTTTATCAGAATATCTCGTAGTTTTAAATTAGAAATAATTCTTTGCTTAGAATTAAAGATGTAATTTAATACTGCTTAAACAGTGACAAAAAGCACTTACACTTAATTACTCTGAACTAATCTTTAGAAAATAAATTTTCGAGTAGATTGGTTTCTGTCGTCAAGATGTGTATGAAGAAAACGTTAGAATATATGTATCATCTCTACATATAATAAAAGTAAATGCCTGTGTGCGTGTGTGTCTTTCGTTCGCGCTGCGCGTAAGCTAATAGACCCAGGGCTACGAAATTGGGTACATAGGGTGCATCTACAAAAGAGACAGTGCATCTTGAAGAGAGTTTTTCAAAATTCGAATGAGTTTTTTATTTTATGCTTTTTGGTAAAATCGCATCAAATCGATGATACTGAGCAACAATGGCATGCATCCATTGTTGCTGATATATCAATGTGGCCATTGTTGCTGATATCAGCACTGTTGCCACTCGGAAAAATGAGGGCGATAATTATGTGCAGTTTTTAAATTTAACGTTTTTCTTGGATGTTGGACGTTTATCGAGACGTACTTAGATTCGACGTTTGTCGAGAGGACGTTTGTTTCCCGGTAGATTTAAAAGCCAGACTAAGGCTGTCCGCAAAGCGGCTAGTAGTTTACATTTTAGCAACATTCTGTTTAGCAACGTTTTAAATTTTAAATTATAATATAGCTGAGAATTCCAAAACTAACTCAGATTTTAGTGAAAATATAAACTGTTTCGGAGCATAATCGGCATGCAAAATTGATTCATATTTTATGTATATTTAAAATATCTTAAACTGATATCTCTCATGTAATCTAATGCAGAAGCTGTTAGCACATTTTTAGGTGATTTTCATTGTATTTGCAGAAATATTTTACCTGAAACTTTTTTTGTTTAAATGTTCTATTTGATCGCTCTTATTCCTTACAATTTTTACACACCGTAATCTCCAAGTCATTAATGCCTCTTATAGTAAAGGAGGATGTATTTTACCCAATTCTTCTTGAACAGCTTTCCAGAGTCGAAGGAGGATTGTAGTTCGATGTTTGGACTATTCGCTTTTTAAAAGTCTAAAAGCGAAAAATATATGGGTTACATCAAAAGATTTAGTAGGTATATGAGTAAAACGTATGGATTTGATATCGTTTCTTGTGCCATTATTTTCCAGGAATTTAATAGTGGATTTTGATGTGCGTGTGCTTGCTTCGTCTTTATGCAGTTCTACTGATTGATGATACTGTGGCTAAAGAGAAGGTATATCATATTTGAAAATGAGGTACAAAATATATTTTTGATAATATATAGAGTTGATCTTGCCACTTTTCTTCACGCTCTTTATTTTTAATCTGCCGTTATATGAAAAAACAACGATCACAAATCACTTTGAAATACTTTATTAATATCCTTTGAAATATGCTTTAAGATTTTGTCCTCCAATTTGATGTTAATAAATAGAATCTCTTTTATTGAAGTCATTCAATTACACCCAAAATTTAAGTATTGTGACATCATTTTTCCATTTTTGTGCGAATAATTGTTTCTCATAGAGAATTCTGCAGCGCGTTCTGCTTTCGGCGATATGTTGCGGAGAAAGACGATGCACGTTACGTTTTTTTCGCCTTTTTAAGTTTCAAAACAGTATTAATCACTTAGCTGCCTGATGTTGCCTCTTCGTCAACCTGATGTTGCTGATATTTTCAGCAAGTGGTTCATCTTGGCTATTGTCTACTAAATATAGAGATGATTTTCTTACTTATTGATCTCAAAAGGGAAGTTCATATTTAAAAATGGAAGTCATCCAGCATTTGTTTCTGCATTAATAATTAATCGTTAGCATATTGACGTTTTTAAGTACATATGAGTCTTGCATTGTCTATATATAATATTCTTTGATAATGTACAGTATGTATCAATATCATTTATATATTATACATGCTGTTGCTAATCATTTATATATTATACATGCTGTTGCTAAATTGATGATGATGATGATAACAAAATGATATTGTTGCTAAATTTTTAACTGATCTTTAAAGAGCTAATATAACGGGAAAATAACAATAATAGGTGTTTTAATGGCTTCAAAGATTCAGTAATTGTTTTGGAAAAGAATGTATTAAGAAATCTCTCCTTTGTGGTTATTTATTTGCATTCTTAACCCTCAAAGCAGTTTTTACTTTATTTCTACTTGTTAAAAGTCTGCTTGAAACAGAGAAATTATCCCAATAATGTTTCAAATGCAAGTTCATCGTAACTTTTGAAATACTATCACAGCAATGCTACGAATTGCTACCGGAAGTGGCAAAGGGATTGCTGGTTGAGATAGCAACCACAAATTTCTAAAAGCCGTAGTAACAATAAAACGTAACTTAATGACTAGAAAATAATTATAATATGTGACTCATAGCAGTAAGATGATTGAAATATGTTATAGATTTCAAAAGTAATATTGTGCGAGTTCAAAATAATTTGTAAATAATAATTTGTGTAATACATAAAAAATTCTGTATTCCTTTATTATTTGTATATGGATAAAAATGTACCAAGTCAACTTATTTGACTCAAATTTAAATTTTGAAAATCAACATGATTAAAAATATTGATAAAATAATACATATAATAGCTAAAATTTAATGAGTTATGTCAAAAATTAATAAATTATTAACTTTCGATGATTGCTCTAAATTTCAATTTCCTTAGCTTCTTAAATATATTAATGGGTTTAAAAAAAATATCAAATATAAACTTATACAGATTTCTTAATTTAAAAAAAAAAAAAATTATAAACTGCAGTAACAGCTTTTCTATTTTTAATTTGATATTTTTTAATGTACTTTCATTAAAAGTATTTAATGAATTTCCAATCAATGACATATTGCAGGACTTTTGTAAATTTTATTATATTTCGTACATATTCCCACGTACATAAATAGGAAATAACATTTCTCCAGCTTTCTGTTGATATCAGTTCATTATAATTTTAGCCCCACCTCGCTGGACCACAGAGCCACCACATACAGAAGCTGTTCTGGGGTCTGATGTGATATTGAATTGTGTTGCTGATGGTTTTCCCAAGCCTCAGATACTTTGGAAGAGAGCAGAAGGTATGGTTTCTAATTCTATGTCTTAGATTTACTATTAGTTTCGCTGATTTACCTTATTTGTTGAAATATGCTAATCAAACAATTTTTGACTCCTCCCCCAAAAAAAAAGATTGCGTTCAGACCAGGATAAAATCTTAATGAGAAAATGTGTTTGAAACTATACCGAAGTCATTATTATTGAAAAATATCTAGATTGAAAGTATCTACCACTTTCGATTCATTTGCCAGCAAAACTTCCGTAGCAAATACCTAACTCAGTATTTTTGATATTTTTCAGGGTAGTAATTCAGTTTTTTTCCCCTCATTCTTTCGATTATGCTTTGACAAACATTTCGAAATTTAGGTTAATTCCAAATAAAATTCACTCATTTTTATGATCTATTTTTAAAATTTGTACTTTCAAATAATTTTTAGAAATTTTTTGGTAAAAAAATCAATTATAACCTATAAAATTTTGCCATCATCTTAAAATATATACATTTCTAGGCACTTCTAAAAAAATTATTTTATTCAAAATTTCCTAACATACACGTAAAATGACATATTCGTTCGCTTTAAAATTATATTTTAATATTTGTTATAAGCGATAATAAAGCCTAATGTGGTTTACGCACTGTGTTAAAATTACTTGAAGGTATGAACGATGACTTTTTCCCGCTCCTGTACAATGAAAAAAAGGAAAGGAAAATAGAGTGCCATAAATTAAGAAGTTCGCCAAGTGAATTATTCTTGGCGCAAACTGAAACAAAAACACCAAGGTACATTTTTTAATTTCTCCATAAATTTCTCACCAAAAATTACACAATTTTATGTCTAGGCATAATTTCAGTGGTGGAATTGAAATATTTAAACAAATTGGTATGTTATTTCAGAAAAAGTCCGATTTTTTGTCAAAATACCTATATTAAAACAATGCTATATATATAAATTTAACATATATCCTATGTCTCTCGAGACGTAAAAACGCAAGTTGAATTTCGTCAATCGGTCTAGTAGAACAGAAGATACTGAACTCGCCCACTTATTTTCACGGTGTACGTATTTCATTAATATAAAAGCTAATACTAAAATGAAACTATAGAAATTAAGGTTTATAAAAATTCAGTTGAACTACTTCCAAAAGTTTATTATTGCAAGCATAAACAAATTTGTCACGTACCAGAACTGGTACTGATGTTCACTCTTATTTATCCAGGCTACATATATAAAAATTAAATAATTAAACAATTCTTTCTCTACAAATCTAATGTTTAATTCCAGGTATTCAATGTAAAGTATACCTGTCAGAAGGTATAGTTACAGGCGGAAACAATTCGCACCAAGATGTAGCTCCAGATCTTTTCATCTCTTACTATATTTCTCTATAACATTCTTGCTGACTAAAATAGTAATGAAATACAATGCGACAGGATTTTCTCCGTTTGACTTTTTTCGCTCGAAAATATATTTCGAATGGTTTCGAAACTCGTTCATAGAAGGTAATTCGACACTTTAGATTTTAAATAAAGATTGAGCAGAAAATGTAAAGTACATTTTCTATATTTTTTTCGTATGTCTCTTCTGGCTTCAATAGACTCGTAAAAAAGATCATATTACTTTTACTGTCCAAAAAGGTAAGTTGAAGAGCTGATATCTTTTTAAGGATATCCAGTTTCGGTGTTCAATAAAGGCATGCATTATATCCTCGTATATGGAAGAAAAGCTTTCGGATAAAAGGCGCATTCTTTATTTTAAATATTCTGACAAAGACCCCTTTTTAGCTATTTTTTTATTCATTTTTTCACAATAGTTCCTTCTTTCTTTCACAAGAAAAAGAAATAAAGGATAGTGTTGAGTAAATTGAGATTCTGTGTGTGCTCACTTTTTTCCTTATTTAGTAAGAAGGAAATATATTTTTTAAGTGATGTATAAATACTTTTGTGTTAAATGTGCTTTGTTATGCCATTAAATCCAAATGTCGGTTGCTTAAATATGAGATTATTTTATTAAAAGCTTTTTCCCTACAGAGAAAAAAATTAAATTAATGGGAAATGATAAACTTTATTTACTTATTACCTTTTAACTTATAAACTTACTCGCTTATTGTAAGAGTACAACAGCAGTCAAGCGGTAATTTTGCTGAACACTGGTAATTCGGTTCAAATTCAAAATCCCGCGAACGGGCTGGCTGCATGACGCTTTCGTGGTTTTCTTCATCTGTGACGTGTATATGAGCTGGTTTTTCTTAGAAAGTCCTCCAGGAAGGCATCCTTACCCTTAGGCAGATAACACTCGAGGATTTGCCATAATCACATAAACCACTTACCGTCCAATAATCAATCTTCTTCTTTCAAAATGAAAACGAAATGTACTAACAAGAGTATTAGAAATTATAGTATTAATCAGTTATTATGGGAATATTAACTGAAACAAATACCTAACTGTCATGACAGGATATATCCGGTCTTTAAACTGAACGGAGTAATATTTATTAATGCATTAATTTGGATCATTCAGTATTTCATTGAAGGTATGAAAGTAATGTTAACGGGCACTGAATGAAGAAGAAATTAATCAACTAACCCACAAAAGAAAATGAAATATTTGCAAAGGCATTTGCTTATACATCATTGGTACATTATATTATACGTCATTTGATTCTGAATCTTTGATGCTTAAGATTGGAGCATGGGGAAAAAAATAAGAAATACAAAAGGACAAAATAGTAATTAACCTCATCATTACAACAGTAATTACATCAAACCTGGGAGATGGAATACCAAATGACAAATAATTACAATAATAATTAGTCACTGCAACAACTTACTAGCCCACCAGTATCGACTGTATAGGTTTTCTTCCTTCAACAAGGTACAGTTTAGCAAATGATCTCTGTCCATCTCAAAAAAAATTCTGGTTGCACAAAGTGGACAAGGTACATTCATATATGGGTATATATATATATATATATATATATATATATATCTTGTATTTCAGTTCCTTTTTAATCTAGTTTATCAGCCCATTCATTATCAGTAATTCAAGCATGAGCCGGGATCCAGTGTAAAATAACAGTCTTACTTTTTGAGGCTAGAAAATTTAGAATTCTGCAAGATTCAATAATTTTTTATTCCGCTACATTATGTGCAATAATCGCTTGAATGGTTGAAAGGGAGTCTGAAAAAATAACAATATTTTTGAGTTCGATCGTTATAACAATAATTTGTTCAGATGCAGTTCTACTTGCTTACTTCCAAATTTTAGATGTTCCTAATTTTAGAGGGCGTATTTTTAAAAGCCTGCAGGTGGCCACGCTTTAGTCTCCAAAATCGTGGACTTTTCAAAAAAGCAATGAGTAAAAAGTATTTCGTAATTATAATTCCAAAATAACTCACCCTGTTTATACCTTAACTCTTTTTCCTTCAAAATATATACATATAGATAGAGATAGAGAGAGAGAGAGAGAGATACAAATACACACATACATACCCATACGTACGTACATCGCGAATACATACATTCAAATCCCGCGAACGGGCTGGCTGCATGGGCGTTTTCGTGGTTTTACCCATGTGTAACGTGTATACGAGCTAGTTCCTCTTAGAAAGTTCTCCACGAAGACAACCCTCTTTGAGGCAGATAGCCATCGAGGCTTTTCCGTAACTAAATAAAACCAAACCAATATATATATGTATATACATATAACTCAATCGTGTGGACACATTTCAGATTACGTGCCTATGTATTTAAAGGTACTGTGACAGATATTTTTGAATGTACATATGCACCTGGGCCGCTTGGAGGCCTTTAAGAGTAAGCAGTAAAATTTTCATATAAATTCCCCTGCAAACGAATATGGGTCTTAATAGTGATTACTGCGAATATCAGCTAAAGCCGCGAAAGTCAATTGACAAAGATGATCAAAAATGACCAGTCGAACGGTTCTTTCTTCGGTTGTAATTTCTCTCCGACAAACAGAGGACTGTGAAATGTTTACCGAAGAAAATGGAATCTCCTTCTTTCGTTCTAGCTGAGCACTTATCCGCGCGAGCATGACTATTGTGCACACGATCGTGCTTCCTATCATCCTACCCGTACTATATAGTGCATGTGTGTGTGTGTGTGTGTGATTATGGCAAAGCCTCGAGGGCTATCTGCCTAATAGGAGGGATGCCTTCGTGGAGGACTTTCTAAGGGAAACTGGCTCGTATATACGTTACACATGGGGGAAAACCACGAAAACGCCCATGCAGCCAGCCCGTTCGCGGGATTCGAACCTCGGACCGAACTACCAGTGTTCAGCGACTTTACCGCTCGTCCGCTGGTGGGCCTATATAGTGCAATGATAAAGGTTTTGCAGCTGATCATGCTAATCGTACTGTAATGCAGTAATAGTGATCATGCATCTAATCCTGTACACTAGTACTTTTACTCGTACAGGCATCCGATTATGCATTACCTGAAATTATGTATTCAGCAGAGTTTGGTGTTTTGCAAGTTGTGTTAGTTGCTTCATAAAATTAAAACTTAACAAGACATGCAAAATTTTAATTTTAAAATGCTTAACAACGTATAGTAACATACAGTGCAAGTGACCTCCAATATTTGTGTGTGGAACCGGTAAATAAATTCCATTTTTCGGCGGCATGTATAAGCTAATCCGGCCGCATGCGACTCGCAAGCCTCGCTTTAAGTATAGATTTTCTAGATGTACAGTCTCTATTCACATATCTGGAGGAGGATGTGAAGGGCTAGTGGTTAAGGGGCTCATACACCTTAAAACCCATAAGATCTTCGAATATGTGACTGTTGCAAGAATTGGGATAACTTATTTATTTTAAAAGATATCACTTCCAACTTTTTACAGCTGTTTACATAATATAGCTGCTTTCTGAAATAGTAATCAGAAAGTTTGTGTTGCCACAAATAATTTTATAATTTAATCCGCTTTGTGACAATAATTCTAAGAATTTCATGTTAAATTTTTATTTTATTTGGAGTTGAGTTTATAAAATATATTT